GGTTTAACTCACTGGTGATGTGCCCGTGGCCTTGTAGCCTATGAGCCGTTCATCTCTAAGCTGACGCACTGCCAGCTTAGGGAAGAACGGTGGAAGCTACGTGTTTGTTGGAGCAGTCACACGTCTATCGTTCGCCACGTAACCACGCTCTCGTTCATCCCGCGCGCAGAAGACGGGACAGGTGATTAAAGGAAGGTGTTTGATTGGTTCTGGTTAGCTTGCAGCTCTACCGCACTGTCAACTTAGGGATGAACGAAATATAGTATCGTCATATTGACGCGATGCCGTGAATCTGTCGTGCCTGGAGTTCGTATGCCGTTGCCTTCCAGCGATGTCTACTTGTAAGCTTTTCTCACTTGCCTTCCAGCCCTCCTTGGTGCATCTGTCCAGCTCTTGGTATCAGGCTTTGCGCTCAGGTGGCTGTCGTTTATTTCCTCTGATGCTCTTTCACATTTCGCCATGCAAAGTAATTTTTCTCTTCTTTTTTAAAGCTTGCAAACGAACTTTCTAATTTAGGACAAAAGTAATTTCAAAAGTAATGAGTAATTTTCTTGAAATTACTGCCTTAAAGTAATTCATTACATTACTAAATTACTAGCCTAGAGAAGTAATTCATTACATTACTCCAAAAAGTAATTTAATTACTCTAATTCCATTACAGTAAAGTCATTTCTGCCATCTCTGCAGTTTCCGTGTTATCAGGTACGAAGCTTTGCTACCATTTAACCTGAAATCGCTTACTGACTAGTAAATGAAGGGTTCTACTGTGTACTTCGTCATTTTATCTCGCGCATATTGGATAATTGTGTGGCTATTAAGTATACAATATAATTTTGGGCACAATTAGAGCCCCTTCAGTTTTTTCAAAGTTAAAATGTCACCAACTAGATTACACTGAAAGCAACTTTTAGATTTTTTATTAATCGTGAAGACAAAAGGATGGTTAGGCTCAGTGGCGTACCAACTTGTTTTTAAGCAAGGCCCTTGGTATGACTTGTTTACCCTTCCCAGTGGCGGCTATTTCGGGGGGGGGGGGGGTAACACATGCCTTGCCCCCCCCCCCCCCCCCACACACACACACTTAAGCTTTTCATGCTACCGACTCAATGCTGACTCAGATTCCCCGGCACTGTGGTTATGTTCAGTTTGAATCTCGCTCCGTCACACCCGAACGCAGTATGGGTGACTCATAGCACGTATTTACACATTGGTATTTCTGTTGGGACTTGGTGCTTTGTTTGTAACAATCTACTGATAGGTGGACAAACGTAAATTCGGGGCAATATCAGATTAAAAAAAAAAAAACACGTAACTGATAAGAAGCTATGAGGTCGTTTTCTCTAATAGAATCTTAACAGATAAGAGTCACTTGCGACTTCCTGGTGCAAACGCCAAGAAGCGCACGCTTTACGTTTTTTTTTTTTTTTTGTAAGTTTTATTATGCATAACACGTGGGCAACCTTTCTGGGTGAAATTGGGGGCTATGGGGGTTAATCGTATTCATCCGGTGCCAACAGGTTTACACCGCGTGTATTATTTAATGTTTTACGTGAAAATATTACACCATAAAAATATTAATTTATTCGGGCAGCGGCTATTATCTATTTTGTTTTTATAATGCGGTGTCCTGCGTAAAAAAGGCAGGTACTGAAGCGGTCGTAGGGTAAAAAGTTGGGCTAGTTGGTTGCGCATAGTTATTGTATATTAACAAATCACAAGGTACAATAACAAGGTGTACACAGGTAAAGTCTCTGGATCTGGGAAAGTAGCTCCATTGCCTTCCCACCTGCTAGATAGACAAAAACAAATACTAACATACAGACGAGAAAACCTCTCAAGGTGATTGGCTCGTCACTGTCAGTTACCTTGGGGATCACCATTTTGGACACTTTCAAAGCTTCGAATCTTCAAAAGGGTCGTTAAAACTAGTCCCACCAAGATCGCTATGGAGCATCATCGTACTGAAAGCGTTCCTCGGCCAATATGAGCGTCTTTTGCACTGTGCATCCAATAAACTTATCACTCATGCTTACTTCCCCAGATCTCTTACAATTATTGCTCTTCTTGCGTGTTTCAAGACAGTAAAATTATTTTTCAATGCCTCCAAGCACTGACGTTGCGTGTGATGGCGGTACGATGATGTACGGCACCAAACGTGGCGTAGGTGCTTTGTGCCATTGAAAAATGAGTTTACTTTCTTGAGACACTCAAGAAGAGCAACATAATTGTAAGAGATCTTGGAGAAATAAGCATGAGTGATAAGTTCATCGCATGCACAGTGCCAAAGAAGCTCATATTGGCCGAGGAGCGCTTTCAGTACGATGATGCTTCATAACGATCTTGGTGCGACTGGTTTTAACGACCCTTTCGAAGCTTTAAAGCTTTGAAAGATTCCCAAATGGCGATCACCATGGCAACTCACAGTCTATGAGCCAATCACCTTGGGAGGTTTTGTCGTCTGTATGTCGGTATTTGTTTGTGTCCGGCTAGGAGTTGGGAAGGCAATGACACCCCTGACTTTATACACAGGTAGTGCGCTAACTGATAACTGTATATTTGAGAAGAAAACTATTGGTCGAAGCTGTAAAATAAAACAGCAATAATAAAAAAAACCCTAAGAATTCACCGTCTACACTTGTTCGAAGCTGTCGAAATCAATTATAAACGCTATTTTTTTTTTATCAAAAAGAAACACTGAAGACAAGCTCACGCACTTGTACTCTGGAAATTAAATAATGTAAGGGACCTCAATTTTGGGAAGACTATAGATTTACCGAATTTCGTGAATGCAAAATAATCGAGAAAAATGCGGAGCGTAAGTTCGTCTGCTTCCTGCGCAGGAGTTGCGATGACGTCAGAACGACGGCGAGTTCTGATTGGCTTTCATTTAATGGATAGTGTGTTACCTCATTGCTAGCCGCCTTGAGGTCTACCCACTAATTTTTTTCAATCAGCCAATAAGAGCTCTGGGTTATGACATCATCGCAACCCCTGTGCAAGTAGCAGACGAACTTACGCTTAGCACATAATGGTTTGTTCCGGTTCGATGAGAAAAAATTTTAGGAAATAAGGCAGGGTGTAGAACGAGTTAGGACAGAATAGCTTGTTGTTGCTGGAAATTGATAAAACAGGAAGATTTGCGGTATTAATTGTTGATTGTTTTTTAGGTAAAGGTTCAGTCAGCTTTGGGTGTCTTGTTCCAGCCTCGCGTTGAAAATGTTCAGAAGTTGGGTAGGAAGGTCGTTTTCGTTCTTAAGGAATGCGAAATTGGGACGGTGTTGTGCCTGTATCCTTTTTTGTATTCCCTATTCTACGGGGGTTTTCGCTGCAATTTAAGAGCTGCTTGACTTAGGCCTAACGAGTTGTTTAAAAAAAAAAGACCAAAATAATGAAACGGTTAGAGGAAACTTTAAGATATTTCTCGTTCCTCGCTCCTGAATATACTTATGTTTGGTAGACTCTTTCAGTTTTCGAAGTTTTCAAATTCGCGACGTACGAAATTTAAAGACGAGATCACTATTTAGCAGACTTATCGCCTCCACGGACAATACGGAAAGTTGGAGCCTTCATCGAAATATAAGAACATATCCTGTACAAATTATACTAATGCACTGGTTTACACTGGGCTCGTATAATCGAGACATAGTGGACACCTTTAATGAACGGAAAAGCTTAATGACAAACCGTAATTTTCATACGCCACCGTCGCAGCAGGACTCAATGTAAAGCAGCTGTGATAGAGTATAGTTACGTATGCTAGTCGATACACGTGATAAAGCTGACATGATGAGTTCGAACGCACGAACAAACATGCACTGGAAGTGTTTATAGCACTGTCGTATTTTTGTTTTTTTTTTGTTTTTTTTATGTGGACATCAGGACCTTATGTGCATGGATATAGGTACAAATGTTTGTTTATTGGTCTACTCATGTTTTTTTAAGAGGTAGGATTTCCTCTGTATATTAAATATTAAAGAATAATAATAATTGTAAATAGCTGGACATTTTACAATATTTCAGGACCATATATTTTCTTCACGTCATCAACAGCATAAGTTTGGCATAAACATTGTCAAAATAACAAATGATACACAAACAAATTGCGCGACCATCAAACAACGTGATGTGTTTGGGCAGCGTCGGCTGTGCTGCTTACTGAACGATATGACGATGATGATCGATTGATATTGCGCCGATCGTGCGCCATACTGTCATCTGATATATTGAAATGACGTTGTCTTGATTTAGCGTCGATGCGTTGTTGATCAATAAATAATTTTAGGGTCGTGACGTGTTTTTACACCAAATTTAGCAGAACACTAAATTGTTGCACAGGTAACGTAAATTTTTCCGGTAAATTTAGCGGGGAACCTGAATTCGTGAGTAGGTCACATGACATCAATTTTCTCGCCAAATTTAGCGGGGAAACTGGATTTCTCTATAGATCACGTGACTGGAAACTTTCCATTAAATTTAGCGCGGAAACTTGATCGGTGCATAGGTCAAATGAGGCCAATATTCCCGCTAAATTTAGTGGGAAAACTTAATTGGTGCGTCGGTCACGTGACTTCAATTTTCTGGCAAAATTTAGCGGGGAAAACTGATTTGTACATGGGTCACGTGAGGTCAATTTGCCGCTAAATGTAGCTAGAAAACTTTTCTTTTACGTTCACACCGTCGAAAAACCGTGTGAACGGGCCACTGACAGCTGAAATGTAAAAACAAATTACGACTAGGCAAACTTAGAAACAATACTAAATGTGGAATTCGTTTTCTATGTGTGTCCTAAAATGGTAAAGTGGCATTTGCATCGACAAATTTCTTTTGATCAAGTTGACGTTATTAGGTGGATCCTAATGGAGAATATCGCCTTACAAACTTTGTGACAATATTGTTTCACCATTACGCTAGGATTACTGGAAGTGTCCTGTAAGTCAAATAAAATAAAACTAGGACATTATGTTTTTGAACTGCTTTTGGCAAATGGTTTATTAGACCTATTAGCTCTTGGGGATACCGGCGTAAATGTGCTCTTCAATTCCACACTCGTTCGTTCCGCGGAGAATCTTGAAATAACCTGAAAGAAAATAGATAAATAAACTTATTTGTTCAGCAGAACATCTCACGTTTGAATATTTGAATACCAATAGTTGATGCAAAAACAGAAAACACGTATTATGGGCTTAGATAATTTTCCTGGCCGTCTTTATTATGAAAAATAAAAGAGGAAGGCACTATGTGTTGTACAGCCGAGGAACACTCACAAGCGAAATGATCAGATATTAAAAGTAAGTTTGTCTTACTATATCTTTATGTGCTCAGCAAGTCTAATCTTTGTAGACTGAGACTCTATAAATAAATTATCTGTTAATGCAGCAAAGCGGAAAGTTGGGCCAGTTGGTTCATGCTTATTTAAATAATTAAAAGGGCCGAAAAAGACAAGGACAAAGAAGGACAAGGACAAAAGCGCCTTGTGTCGTTCAACTTCGTTGTCCTTGTCTTTTTTGGCGCTTTTAAATATTTAAAGTATCTTTTAATGGTCTGGGATACAACCATTTGAAAAAGAAAAAGTTCATCTATGATTTGTAAAATCGACATATAAAAACCTACATGAATAATATATAACGCATATATGAATTCTTTAATGATCATGCATGTTTTCGTATGTTTGGTGGCGCATTAATAATAATCATTTTCACCAGGAACGTTAGTTCTTTAATTGCAAAGAAAACACAGTATGGCGATATAGCGTGATAAGAGTCGTCTGTTTTATAGTTGTGTTCTCGAGTATCTCACCCTTGTCGCCCCAGTCTTCGTTCCACGAGTTGGCCACGAGCCAGTAAGGGGTGCCGTTCTCTGTGCCCCATCCGAGGATTCGAATAGCGTGCATTCCGTGCCGGTCATTGCTGTGACGCTGGTACACGCCTGTGCCCCGGAGACAATGATTTATCGGCGTGCTTACATAATAGAACATCGTAGGAATGTTTCAGGCCGTTAAGGTGTTCTTAAAATACTCACTGTACAGGAATGTAGCTGTCGCACCATATTAAGAACTTTTTAGGTATCGGAAAAAGTATTACTTTCAGTTAGTTTTTGACGTCTATGTCGCGTTGTTTAATTTAATTCGTATTAGGGTCCAGTAAAATTGTTTGAAAATGCTAAACTTGGCGAAGTAAAAAAAAATTTGCGCGAACCCGTTCGCGGCATACTTTTTATGTTAATCAGTTTGCGATTTTTTTAAAGCTAGTTCACACACTTGCGACGACTTTCGAGCGCCTGCATTACACCTCTTAAAGCCTTTATGAGTAGAATATATTTATTAAAAGGAAAAAGAAAACAAGATTGCTTGTCGGTTATATTACCTGTACTTTTCCTTTTTGTGAGAGAACCTTTCTGCTCGAAATAACACACTGACGCCATCTATGGGTGGCCGAGGAACACTAGGCATTTCCATACATTTTTTTTTGTCGCGCATCGTTGTTGTTGTTGTTGTTTTTATTTTCTGACGTTATAAGCGATCACTTCTCATAGACAGTACGTACATTTGATCTCTCAAATACCTCAAAACCTTCGCTGTGGTGAAATGCAGTTCAGAAATCAGCTCATAGATGGCGCCAGCGTGCAAGTCTCTTCTCTCGTCGTGAAAGACCCTCGGTCGTAAGCAGGTGCAACTGTCTAAACGGGCCTTTAGATGTTTACTCTCGTTGCCTAAAACTCTGCTACGTAATCACCAGATTTGTAGCACAAGAAGTCTCCGTAAACATGAAAGTCAGCCTCCACAGGTCCGTTCTTGAAGATCTCGGTCTGGATTTGCTTCTCGTCTCTGGAAATAGAATATACCTTCTGGCCTGTGGAATAAAGAAAAATCATATTTCAAACATGAACGAGTTTTTTTCAGTCAAAAGCGGGTTGCCCCGCCTATTGGCGATGTGCGTCTGTCTGCCTTCCTGCACAATCGCGGACGCTATGAAAAAAAACAAAAAAAAAACATCCAAGAGCGCGTAGCTTACAAGGCCTGTTGCGCTACCTATAAAAAATAGCTCAAGCATTAAGAAGTTTTAGCGGCTGTTAAATGATTGATATCTCTTTCCACTTGATCAGCGGTTACTACGCTCATGCTGATTGGGCCGAATCTAAAGGCGTTCCATGAAAAAAGGCAAAACCTAGCTTGGCTGAATCTGCCGGGTCGGCAGGCTGACCGATTAATATTCGGGTGTTTGATCAGTTCGCGAGATAAATGAGGATAAGTGTGGTTTTATTTTATTTCGCCGAGCAGTGCCCTACTATCTGTATTTGCTCAAAATACTTTGCCGAAAAACTGGGGAGTAATGACGAAATTAGAAATGACGGTAAAATGCCGCTCGTTCGCCCAATAGCCTCGATGATATTTCGGCTTTCTTCCGCCAGGTAGAACTGGATGCCTTCGGAGTCACGCGCTCGCCCGGTCTTTTCATCTAGTCCGTGACCCTACTTTTCTAGTAAACGTAGTTTTTTAGCTTCGCTGTTCCCACTTTGAAGGATGATTTCAATAAGGTCCCTCTTCACCAGATCGTCATTGCTCTTACATTTTGTTTGTGTGCAATGCACTACAGGCACAAGAGATCCAGGAGGGCACTTGCACATTGACATGAAAAGAGGACAAGAGTCCGAACTGGCATAAGGAGTCAAGGTATTTAAACACAAAGCTGGCAATGCAAGAGCGATGGCAATCCTAAACGTCAAAGAGTTGCTTTCCTAATTTGTAATAATGCTTGGATTTAGTCTTTTTGGTTTGACATTATGAGGTATACTGCGCTGCGAGGTTACACATACAGCTAAATGTTCACAAATTCAAGCTAAGACATTCATCATCCCGTTCACTTGCAGGACATCTAAATCATCTTATTCGCCCGTCCCGTTATCTAAAACATCGGTGTCTACAATTGCCCTCAAGGACACTCTTCATCCGGTCTTTCATTCTGAGAATTATCAGGCAAATCTTCGTCTTTCAAGACTCTTGTATAAACAAGGAAGAAGAAGAAACGTAAGAGTCTTCTTCCTATTACTAATCTGCGCTTTCACATGCACGGCATGTTTTTTTTTCTTCCTCTGACTACCATGTCGTTTTATAGTTTACGTGTTTGTTCAGTGTAACTTCGCGGCGCACTATACCTCATAATCTCATTATTTTGGTCCGTGCCCCTATTTACCGGAACGTTCATTGTGGAGTTTTAGAATAGCATACCCAAAAGTTTCGCATATAAAAAAAAGAAAGAAACAGCGTCATCGCTACTATGCCTGCGCCGAACCCAAACCGTGTTCTGGACTGGCGAAAGACAACGACGCTGTTTTTGTTCCTTGTATCCTAAAGTTTTTGCGCATGCTATTTTAAAATTTTATATTCTTCCAGCAGCCCTTCGTACGTTACCTTCAGTATTTCAGATAGGAGACATTAGTGTAGCTATATTTCGGTGTTTCCAACTGCTCTTTTGGGGTCAAGTGGGTAATGGGCCGCAGTTACGATGCCAGCCGCGAAGAGGTGACGAAAGTGTTAATCGTCCCCAAGCGTCTCTTCCTTCCAGTCCACTTTCCTTCTCGCCAAACGACAACGCAATGCATGCTGACTCGCGACCCCAGAAGGCGTCCGCCATTGAGTTGAAAATTATCTCAACGTTCTCAATTGTTCCCTCCCTTAAATCTAGACCCTCCGTTAGCCACGTGATTGCAAACAGCAGATACCCTACCGAAGTGCTTGTCCTCCTCGTAGTCCTTGCCGTAGCCCTCCCTGCAGTGGTGCACACACTTGGGTGTGGGCACAATTTTTGTGCAGTTGGGAAAGCGACCCTTGGTATGGTGTTCGCAGGGGGCGAGAGAGTAAGGCTTGCAGCCGTCGGTGGTTCCGTAGAGGCCTTCACTGACGAGTCCTCTCTCTTTCCAGTATTCCCAGGCTGCCGCTGTGAATCCGCCGTAGCAGCTCAAGAACGAAAATGTTAATGCTCGGTGAGTTCTATGACAAAAACAATCTGCTTCAAGGATGACCAGCACTCCACAGCCGAGGTAAAATGTGTCTCTTTTATACTCGTTGACTGTTCAAGCTGCGACATTCAGCCGGAGTTACGACCAGGAGGTGTCCCGCGATCCTTGCTCTGAGCAGTGGCGGAATGAGGCGAGAAGTGGGGGGCAGCCTAGTAAATGGAAGGCGTGGCTTATGTTCAAGCTTCTTGCTTCGGGATCTATTGTTTAGCGTTCTTATCGGCAACCACCATTATCTCAGTGACGTCGGAGTGATGATCAGGTGCTCAGGACTCGGCACGTTCTGCCTTTCTTAAGGTGTCGGTGACAATAGTTTGTATTGAATTGCTTACCCGTAACCGCAGGTATCGCAGCAGTCCAGGAGGTCTTCGGCCGAGATGTTAACCTGCATCTTTCCTTTGCTGTGAATGCAGATTCGGTCCGACATCGCCTCCGTAGCGCCAAAGGCCTGTGGGGGATCATTAATAACTTTAGGAACGGATTTCTAACAAAACGGAAAGGTGACCAAACCTGGCTGAAAGCAATGCAAAAAAAAAATAGATAAATAAATAAATAAAATAAAAACGTATAAAGAAAAAAAAAGAAAAAAAGAAAACAAGAAACAAGAGCTTCGAAGGATGTATGTTTTTTTAGCAAAAGACTTCGACCATTTAATAAAGTACATATATAAAAACCTCTTGACGGTGCTCTTCATAATCAAATACACTATTTCTTTTAAATTTTGATTTCCCCATTGACCTTTCGTTAGATAACAAGAAATTTTATTTAGAGCGACTCACTTTAAGATTCCTATGCACGTTGGGAAAATTAGGTATGTGCACAAGAGGGTTGTTCACCCACAGACACATGCATGAGAACTAGCTTAACTCTACATTTTCCTAGCACTGATTACCTTAATATATTTATAATTCCTAACAAGTTTGACTTCCGGAATAAGTGCTGAACTTGATTAACTACTTATTGTATAAGCTTTTGCCTAATCGCATTGCCGTCATCATTTTAATTACGCCTTTCCGAGGGTCTGTAGCGATAAAGGATTTGTGTCATGTTCTAAAAGTCCTTCATGCCTAAGGTCTGACCCGCAATACCAAGGCATACGGAAAATGAAGATCTAAATACATTAAAAGAAATGTGTTAACACTGATATCACCACCTATAAAGATGTTTATCGGAATATTGTATAGATATATTACCAGAGAAAACAAAATGCTCTTACAAAGGCCCAGGTGTAAGCGTTTTTTTTATTTGTTTATATGGTCATGGCATTCTTACCCAGCAGGAACCGCAGGTGGACTGGTCGCGAATAAGGTGAATCGAGTCGCAGTGGGACCACTTCTCTCGTGCATCGAAGCTTTCCGGGAGGTCATCAGGGATCTCGTTGTGCACGAACTCTGCCAGGCGGTATTCCTTGCTCTTGGGGTGCACTCCCAGAAGACCCCTGATGTAGCTCATGGAGATGGATTTGTCGAAGTTCCTTCCGGCCTATAAACGCAGCAAGGATTTAGAGTATGCTTATTTTTGTTTTAGTGATGTTCACAGTAGAGCCTGTCTTCTTTCATAGGTATTTTGTGTCAAATAGAAAAACAGCTAAAAACATTAGGGACAAGAGTCAAAGAAAGAATGAAAACACTTGGGGACAAGGACAGGCCGCACAGTTCTTTCATGAAAGAACTCTGCTGTCTGTCCTTGTCCCTAAGTGTTTTTATTCTTTCTTTGACTCTTGTATTTTCACCAACACGATCTTTGATCTTTGAATATTAGGGAGTTTTAGAATAGCAGAAGCTAAAGCTTTGCGTACGCAAAAAAAGCGTCGTCGCCGCTGAGCATGCGTCGAACGCTAACCAAGTTTTGGGGTTTGCGTGCACTATTTTAGCGTAAGCTATTTCTCGGAAATTGCGTGCGTACGCAAAGAGTCTTTGCGCTCCTCCAAGCAGGATTCGTGAGGAGAACTTGGCTGAAGCCAAGACGAGCACAGTTAAAAAATGGCGGCTCCTAGGACCATGGCTGCGGCTACAGTGTACTGCGGCCGCTTTGGCGCCGTCGTGAGGGCGACGTCGGCGGCATCCTCGCGACTGCGATTTTTCTATACGGAACGATATTGCAATCGGTTTAAAAAACCCAGTCAAATGGGCAACGATCACCGGTAGTTTGATGCTTGCGACGCGCGAACATTTCTCGGCGATGGTACGATGTGCGAAGGTCAGTACACGAGACCTCTCTTGCCGAGGCGACGCAAGCGGACACGACCGTTCGACCGCTCGCGTCGCATTCTCATGCTTAAACAAATCTGAAATGTTACTCTAGAACAAAATACTTGTTTTTGCTCAAGTTACAGCATTTCGTGTGTGAAATCAAAATTGTGACTGTATCTTGGAGGCGTTGCAAGCGCGAGATGCTTGGGCTTTTTAGTCGCGGCGGAGAAACGCTATTCTAAAACTCTCTTGCGTAGCGTGCGCTAATGCTAGCGCTAAATTTTTGAGCAAGCGTGCGCCAAACTGGCGTGAGTTAATCCAAAACTCCATAATAACTGCGTATATAGGTATGGTGATTTTTGTAGCATTAATTTCATATCGGGTTTTTTCGTAAGTCAATTCAACTTCTTTTGTTTTGCTACAATAAAATCAATCTTCAGAGAAAATTGTTTTAGGAAGATGATGGTTACTCACTTTGGTAGATCAGATATATTTGCACCTAATTCTAGTTTTCGGCGCACAACGTGGCTTCTTTGAAAACTTTTTTTTTTTTATCTTTCATATTCAACTTGGAGACACAAACATTTTTTTGGGGAGTTAGAGGACCACCTATGTATTTTATGTTTGTTTTTATTGCTGCCTTCCACAATGAACGAATTCGCTGTTTTAAGACACGGGAAAGAAAGGGAATTATTCCTCTTCATAAAAGGATACTACCAGGGAGACAAAAGCTTTGGGGTATGTATTTACATTTCATTAATTCAGGCGTAGATACACATTTTCAATATATAGTTCTGCGACATTGCCAATCCTTAATCCTTTGTTTATTTCCATGAATTGACGTCGGCAAGCATAGAACCCCGCACAATGTTTTTAGTCGATGAAACAGCTCGAAAAAAACTGATTCTCACAATATGTTAAGGCTCATGTCACGACATACCTTCCAAGTTGTGTTTATCTTGTTGATGTAGTTGATCATTTGGTCGGAGAGCGGGTGCCACCTCTTAGGATGAATCTCTCGTCCAAAGCAAACAGCGACCAAAAGGCCCACGACCAGGAGGGAATTCAGCATGTCTGAAACAAAGAATAACCTGATTGTAATTCATCCCTAATAAAAGAATAAACTGTGACTACTTTATTTTGTGTTTCTTTGCTCAAAATAACGGAACTTAAAGATGTAAAAACAATTAAGCGCGATGAATAAAAGAAGGCAGAGCTTACCTGGGTATGACCGTTTGCAGGCACCGACCAATTTCACCAATTCGATTGGTGTTTATATTAGTTGGCAAAGTTACTTTCAAAAATTAATTGAATTACATTACTAATTACTGTTCTGAAAACTGCAAAACTGTAATTAAATTACATTACAAATTACCGCAGAATAATGTAATGACATTATATTACAATTACTGTCAAAAGGGATTAAATTACTTTTAATTTACGTTGACATTACTTTTGAATACATTAAGGCGGTAATTCGTCTTCATTTTATTTACCGTATACACCATCACAGTGTGTACAAAACAAGCCCTCGTTTGTCCACACATCCCGTGTGCAGCAACCAGATCCCGGAGAAGCCAGGAGCTGCGCATGCGCAGTGCCGACAGCAGTGCCACCGCAGTGATGTGACTTCGAAGAGATGAGTTGGTCTATATGTGCCAAAACTCAGGTCTTCCTGTTTACCCCCAAAAAATTTTATTTGCCTCAAAGTGAACCATACTGAACAGTGGTTTTGCTGGAGCACACGGCATAAGTGTTAAACATGATTAATAGATTCTTTAGATGTGACTCAGAAAGACAGTCGACACACCGATTTCGCTGTTCATTCAACGATGAAGGTTCTTACTAAAATGGTGATATGCTTCCGTCTTCCTGATTTAGAAGTTGTAGTTCGAGTCAGTTTTTTAAGTCGGGCAATGGCAGGTCGTTCTTAGTCGTCACGTGAAACGTTTCGATTCCGTCTCGGACAAAATTTAATTATATTCTTCCAAGAGCCTCTTCTCGGTCATTCCTTTCAAGTAGCATTTTTCCCAAACACCCGAAAGGCCCAAGTTTTGAGCATTGTCACACAAAGGGCCAGGATTATTGCTAAGCAGAAGCACCGCCAGTTGAGGAATGGCGCGAGCTTCCTAAATTGTGTACTTTCCCAACAAACGGGGGTCGATATCTGCTCATAGGTTTATTCCCGAGCAAACTTCCCAAGGGAAGGCAGCGAGGCATACCTTGAGCGGCACCTGTTTTGCTCGAGGTCGCATGAAAGGTTCTGGGGCTTTCACAAGGCATTTGGAATCACCCATTCATTCCGGTCGTTTGTTGTTCACTACGGCGGAAGCTTACGGTTTGACGTTGCTTTACGAAATTACAAGGCTGGGAATCTGTTTGTCCTGTCCTCTCACGTTTTAAATTGTGTTTAACTCACTTGTGATGTGCCCGTCGCCTTGTAGGCTATGAGCCGTTCATCCCTAAGCTGACGCATTGTCAGCTTAGGGATGAACAGTGGAAGCTACGTGTTTGTTGAAGTGACACGTCTATCGTCATCCACGTAACCACGCTCTCGTTCATATTCACGCGCAGGGAAAGCGACGGGTCAGGTGATTAAAGGAAGGTGTTTGATTGGTTTTGGTTAGCTTGCAGCTCGCACAGCACTGTCAGCTTAGGAATAAACGGAGTATAGTATTGACCTGATGACGCGACGCCGTGAATCTGTCGCGCCTTGAGTTCGTAAGCCGTTGCCATCCAGCGATGTCTACACGTAAGCTTCTCTCCTTCGCCTTTCCAGTCCTTCTTTCCATGTCTGTCCAGCTCATAGTACAAGGCTTTGCACTCAGGTGACCGTCATTTATTTCCTCCGACGCTCTTTCACAACATTTCAACATGCAAAATAATTTTTTCTTCTTTTTTAAAACTTGCAAACCAACTTTCTAATTTTGGACAAAAGTAACTTCAAAAGTAATAAATTCTCGAAATTACTGCCCGAAAGTAATTCATTACATTACAAAATTACTATGCTAGAGAATTCATTACATTACTCATTACTCCAAAAAGTAATTTAATTAGTGTAATTCCATTACAGCAACGTCATTACTGCCATATCCGGTTTATACACCCCTTATTCGAGCACGAGACAAATCTGAGTGAGGGACATTATCTATGCAAACGAACGAGCGGCAGGTATTTGCACGTGGAGAACACAATGGAGCGGCAGACGTCAGTCAAATTACGCCAAATAATGCGCGGAACTTTTTGTGGTCACAAGATGCCTCTTTTCGTATTGCCTATACGACCCAGGGTACAATAACGGGATAACCTGTTGAGTGTGCGTCATAATGAACTGGGAGTTTTCAACGGAGGAGACTCACCGCGTTGACAATGCCCAGCTTTCCCTTTGAGGCGGCAGTTTTTTTTCCGGCGGATTGCACTATTTCAATACCCTTTCAAAGACACCACTTCAAAACTATCATGGCTTATAGAAAGGGCTAGGACATCTAATTCAGGGTTAATAAGTGTTAATAAGGTATTATGCATATTTAACTCTTTAATTAATAAAAAAATTACTTGAAATGCGAAACGTGCTGGGCATAATCGCCACTGATTAAGTCAATCTCCAGAAGATGAAAACAGAGTTTGAAACGACGTACCGGATGAAGGCAGACAAAGAGTGAGCGCTGACTTGCCACCAAATTTTATTAAACGCAACGGTGCGATATATACAAGCACGGTCGATAACAAAAACGAAGAAAGTCCGCCTGAAAACACAGAACTAATAAACACAGAAATAAAATGACGCATCCAAAGGGCATACTGAGGGCACGCGTTCAAAACAAGTGAATCGAGAGGTTAGAAAATGAATCTCTCTTCTTGACAAGGCAACCGAAGGACTGCTGACAGACACAGAGCCTAATCTTTCTATTTCTGGTGACCAGTGTGTCAGCAGTCCTTCGGCTGCCTTGTCAAGAAAGGATTTATTTTCTGGCCTCTGGATATTTGTACCGCATAATATACGTTTTTCCCGATTCTAAAAATGCGCGAAAATTCGACACACATACGCAGTTTCTTTTTTTTTTTGTTTGTTATCCGCATTTTTGCTCCGCCAGCCTTGCGCCTGTTGACGGTGGGATACATTTTGCGCGTCACCAGCTAGGCTTCCCAATTTCTCCCAGTATTTCGAATATGTAATGAGTTAGTGGTTTTCGATGATGCTACGCAAGATTCTAATTAAAAACATGTTTTTGTTTTAACAAACTCAAAAGTTATTGCTTGAAGTTTTATAAAACTACTAAATTATACTAAACGCTACGTAGTGCATCTCACTGCAACGGCCCATTAGCAATTACTGATACGACGCCAATCGTAATTTTCTACCTTGCGTAGTTTCGGCAGAAAATGTATGCCGATGTTCAGAGAAATACTCAATAGATCACTGGATTATGGGCTTTTCTTCTTAAATCGTTTATTGGCTGAGATCACAATATAAATCTAAAGTGTTCGCAAACTAATATAAGAAAAGAACGCGCTCTCGTGGAGGTTGGATACGGTGCTTTGGTACACTGCTAAACCGGGAATCGCTTCATAACCAAGAAACTAAAGATTCTACTGAGTACTTGTTCAATTTATCTCGTGTTCGGTGCGCGTGCGTTTTTTTTCCTCGTAATCGTGTTCAAATTGTTAAGAAAGAATTCATAATGTTTAGAACCGGAGTCTGGTTTCCGACTTTTGTATTGTTAAGGTTTGATCAACTAGATCTCCACTTCTTGCTGCTGGTATTGAATTTGAGTTGTTTGTTTTAATCATTAAACACGAATTGAGACTGAAGAAAAAGGCAGAATAAGGATCTTTAACCTTTTTTGCTAGTGACTTCATGTCGTAAAATGTTAAATAAAAACCTTTAACAGGAGCATTGGCGCGAACGCAGTTTGCGAGAAGGATAACACGTCTTTACACATTCGATCTTAGAGTAGCGGTACTTTGTTTTTGTTCCCGACAATCAGCAGATAGGTGGGCAGACGTGTACTTTGGTGTTTGGCAGATACAAATGAATACGTGGCTGATAAGGAGGTGTTGTTGTCTGCAAGAGAAATTTGTCTGATACGGTCCACTTAGGACTTCCTGATGCATATGCCCTGAGGCTCACGCTTATCTCTACCTGGTAAGCCCCCTCATGCACCACGAGTCGGCACCTCCCACGGAAAAAAATGGGCGACCATGTGGGTCCACCTTATTCATCCCGGGCCCAAATGGTTTTCACTGCAACAGTTTGCTGTAATCAAACGTGTTTATTGAGCAGCGTGAGCACTTTGGGTACAGTTGTCATGTAACTGACAGCTTAAAAAAAAAACAAAAACGCACGGCCTGGCAATTTTTAGGTATTTTGTTATCGCCCTCCAAGCCTTGAGATTGCTAAAGAGGCCGATGAGAACGGCGGAGGACAAGCCATAGAATAAAGAGACAATAATGGGCCACGCCCTGCGCTTGTTCATATGTCAGTGACGTATATTATGGCCAATGAATATGACGTGAAGTCAATGATGAATAAACATAACGCCTTGTTTTGCTGTGATGTCTCTTTGATCGCGATGCTTATTTCAACTTGAGAGCTACAGTATGCATAAATTCATTATTCTGCGAAGTTCTACTGTGTATAATAGTTTCTTTTTTTATATGAATCTGCCAAATAAAAAAATAGATGTAACTGCGTGTGAAGCCATTGAACGGTGGTGTGTGACAAATTTAATTGTTCTGTGCTTAGTGCGAAAGAATAATTCACGAGGTTGCTTTTTTTAATACAGTAGATTTTTTTATGTGTGTGGCAAAATATATTGCTCTGATATAGTTTTAACGTGAAACGTTCATTTTACGAAGCCCAGATAAAAGCGTGGCCGCGAGGCTCGACACTGATTGGTTGAGGGGTGGGCGAGGAGGAGTTAGGTGCTCGACACTGATTGCTTAACGGGGAGGTCATGTGAACAGAGGAGTAGGCGAGTAGTAGTGAGGCACACGAGGAGAAGCTTGGCCACTTCTGCGCTCTGAGAGAGATGAGGTTTATGGGCCCAATTAGCGGTAGTGACGCTTCATTCTAGAAGCAACT